TTTTTTTTTTTTTTTTTTTTTTTTTTTTTTTTTTTTTTTTCCCAATGAATGAAGACCAGGCTGTTGCAGAGGCCCATGTCCAGACATCAAAGCCTCTCCTGGCATGACTTCGAAGATCAGTTAGGCATTGCTATCTGGGCAATTAATTTTCTGTGAGACCACTTCCCTACCCATCCTCTCGTCAATTCTCTTTGCGCATTCCTATTCCTACTAATATCCTACGTCCATGCCCTGGTCTGCTGGGCCCACAGGTTCAGCAGTACTGCATAAGGAAATCAGGCCCTCAGCCTGCTTCCGCAGGCTATAACTGCACGGCAGCCATTTAATGCCCACTAGGGTCCATCCCCAGCTGACTTATATAGTTGTGCGCTTGGGCCCTTGCCACACCAATGTCGAAAACTCGTTTTTCCACTATTTTCTCATGGCCGCATAGACTGTCTATGAGAAAATGTAGGAAAACGAGTCTACATGTGTCAGATCGAAGGATTCGACATGCGTGGAAAATGCCCGCCTGCAGTGCTCGAAAACTCATTGACACTTCAACTCCGGGGTAGTGAAAAGGAAGGCATTCTCCACATCTCAGAGATGCAGGCCCTGGAAACCCCGGCCATGCGGTGACGACAGGGTTTTTGTCAAATACACCAATGTTGAAACTCGCCTGACAAACGTCGAATAACAAGAACAGGGGATTCGTGAAAACCTCACAATCGGAGAAAACCTAACATTTCTTATAGAATGAAAAATTAAAAGTCAAACTGTTATTTTTTACACAAAAAGAGAGCGTTTTTAATCGTTCTGCGATAAAGGAGGCAAAAAATCAGGTGAAAAGTCTAGCGTTCCTCAAAATGTGCAAGAAAACCCTTCCTTGCAAAATGCTTTTATATGACTATAAGTCATTCTCAGTAGATTGGCAAAAAAACAGAGTTCAAAAGGGTAATTTTTAAAGTTGACCAGGCAGACTTGAAAGATATAAAAAAAAATGTGTTTTGGTGAATACTCATTTATAGGACTATAAGTCAGTTTCCGCAGTTAGGTAAAAGCCAAGCTTTGCACAAAATAATTTAAAGGATTATAAATCACTTTTGAACTTAACAATAAAACCCTTATCAAAAAATATATGTCATTTAAAATAAGAATACAAACAACTTTTGCCTCGGAGACACCTTGAAATTCTTAGTCAAACACGAGTTTAAAATAAAAATATAGGGAAAAAAATTAAAACAAACAATAAAAAATAATATATTCGCCCATGTATGGGAAACCATGTTCAAGCGAACGTATTCACGAACAAAAGAATATGTTTGCGTGTTCGGAAAACCTCCGAATAAATTCATCGTGCTACACATCTTATAGGACTATAAACAATTTTTTTTTGGATAACAAAAAATCAGGATATTTCAGTTCTTGAACCTACGGTGCTTCACCAGGTCGTAATTTTCTACGAAAAAACCCGTTTTTTTCCTCGCCCCCTCCAGTAGTTCAGAAAAATAAATTTTCTGTTTTTTTTTTTTTTATGTTTCACTTCACGTAGAATTTTGTTCCTGGAGGAGACCTGAAAAACGTACTATCATAATCTTGAATAGATTTCGTGCAAACCTAACAATTTTGTTAGGTTTTCACGAATCCTATGTTCAAGGGTTTCCGCATTGGTGTGATGAGGCGTTTGCATTCATTCATTGAGTTTACTTGCTGGATGTTGTTGTGCTTGGAAATCTCGCAGCATCCACTGACGAGGTGACGAAGAGACAGATTCACTGCTCATCTGAGATTGGTTTTTTTTTTTTTGAACTATGGTGCAATCAGGGTTATAGTTTGTAATTGAATTTCAAACTGCGTTTTAGCATATTAGTCAAGGCCCCAGTTTCAAATGCAATTGAAACCTGGGTTGACCTTCTTTTTTCAGCAGTTCAGTCAGGCACGTCGCCCCTTTTATTTTTCC